ATATATGTTTTCTTAAGTTTTCGCGGGTACTTACATGTATGGTGTTCGGCTTGGTTCGGGTATTTTCCCACGTCATTGTAGTTCTTTTAAAGTTGTAGCAACGTTTCAGCAGAATCTCATCTGCCATCATCAGGCTTCTGTATTGTGTCCGTCTGTGAGTCAGACTTTTACAGTAGTATATTATATATTATATATTATTATATTATATATTATATATTATATATTATTATTATATTATTATATTATTATATATTATATATTATATTTGTGTGTTTATATAAGTTTATTAAAAGATGTAAAAACAAAGATACAAACTATTATAATGTAGGGAAGATAAAAGGAAAAAAAGAGAGCTAAATGCAAGAAAGAAGATACAATGAAGTAGCAAAAAATATTCTCTACAGCAGTTATAAATTTACTCCTTTTTCTAAAAGTGTAGAAATTCTCAGTCATCCAGGTTGTGTTTGCCCCAAAAGTGCTTTTTTTTTCAAGAGGCAACTGGGTTTTGTTTTTTCTTTGAAGACATTTTGCTTCTCATCCAAGAAGCTTCTTCAGCTCTGACAGAATATTGGGGAAAGGAACTTCCTTTTTTTTGCATAATTTATTTTTATTTCTATTTGTCTTACTATTAACATAGATATCTGCCATTGTAAACACTTCATTTTTTGAGAAATAAACAAGGGTAGACTTGAAAGAAGAGCCAGAAGGCTATTCCTGCAGAGCCCGCATACTCAGGATTCACATCCCCACATGGCCCTTTTCTCCCTCAGTTCACAAACTTAACTTAGGGATGTTCAGTGTCACCATTTCCAAGCAGAATTCATTGATCCAACTCATTGGTGTTGGAGAAACTGGCAACATGCCATGCCTTTTCTATGAGGTAAGTTCAATAGAGTTTATTTTACTTTATTGTCATTGCACTTCGTACAACAAAATTAAATACCATCTTCAGTGTACATTATGACTGAAAATAAACACAAACACGCATCCTTTACATTCTATACATTAAATTGAAAACCCCTGATAATTGCGTTAATATTGCACTATAGAGTAGAATTCAAGAGGCCAATGAATTTTTCTGTGTATTTTGGAACAGCTCCATTTAAAGTGAGGTTACCCTAAAGTTTTTTTGTCTTTCTGAAAATGACTGAAACTAGAGTGAAGAGACCTTCTGGAGACCCTGTGGTGATGCAGCTTACTTAGAACAGAAAATTGCATGTTTGATTCTAGAATTATGTAATTCCACCCTAATTCTCTCCTGTTTACATGAAGTCCTTGGGAGAGATCATTTCTTGACACCATCATGTCTAGACCAAAGCTAAGATTGTAATTGAATCAAGACTTCCAAATCCACAGCCCTTCCGTCTTGCTGAGATTCAATATCAACCCACTTTTCCCCACCCAGCTCCTAACAGCCTCCAGATACCCACAAGAAACTCTCCTCCAAAGTGGAGATGCATTCCTTGGTATTGGTACTGCGGAATCCTCTTCTCATGTTGGCAGATGTCAAGCATGGTGGCACCCCACACCGGAAAAGCCCAAGGAGCCCACCAGCTGCTAGAATCGCGTATTCAGCCAGGAGGTCCACCACAGGGCATTGCTCCCCAGTCCTTCATGGGTGGTCCAGGGGAATACCGTGATCAAAACTATCCAAGGCAGGTGGATCTGGAAGATGATGACCCTTTTGTGGTTGCCACCCCAGCTTATCAACAAAGGCAGACAACCTAATTTGGGCTCCATCTGAAAAAGGTCCCGTATTCTCAGTTTATGCAGCCATGTTATTTTCTCAACAGGCTCAAGAAAAGAACTCTTAAGACAGACCAAGTTATCCAAAATCACGAGGCCCGAGAAAATGGCCCTTATGGAGGGAGCGCAGCCCCCCCAAGTACATCAATGGGTGTTTAGCAAAAGAAATCCCTTTCCTCAAGCGGGACCGACACGCAACCTCTCCAGTTGCAAAAATTGGAAATAACTCAAAGCCAACAAAAGAAACTTGGATCATTGAAAACAAAGAGAATTTACTTAAAAAAAAGATGGTTTGCAAAGCACCAGTAGTCTTTAGAACCTCAAGAAACAGGTTCAAATAAAAAAAAAAACACTTTTATGTACAGATTCATCTCGTCACCCAAGTTCCCTCCTTCTTGTGACTCATTCCCTCCCAAGTTCAAGCTCATTGGATTTGGCCTCAGGTGTTGCAGCTGATTCTAGGATGTCTTCACGGAGAATGGTCTCCTTCCCTTATATTCTCATGCGTAGCCCTCCGTACCTCTTACTTTGGCTGTCCACATGGCATCTTTCCTTTGCGTTAAGGAATGTAGCATCCCTTCATCAGGGCCTCTTTCTAACATCTGAAGATACAATTTTTAAAAGCTCATAATATGCTACCATTTTTCCAAAGAGATTATAACCCCCCCAAACATAATAATAATAATAATAATAATATAAAAGGCATATTATACATAAGATAAAAATATAAAAAGGCTTAACAATGGAGCATGTCAAAAGTATAAAAGCAAAGCATGTATATACTGGGAGATATATTTCATTTGATAACAAATTAATAGAATTGGAAGGAACCCTGCTGGTCATCTAGTCCAACCTCCCTTTGTGAAACATTTAAGCATCTTATATACCACTTTATTTCCTTATTTCTTACAGTTCCCTAATTTGTCTCAACAAATCTGATGAAAGAACCGATGAAAGCCTCACTTAAGGGCCGGAGGGAGACCCGAGACAAGACAACAAACTAAAAGATTCAAGGTCTATCCCACCCTTGATAGGACCTGATGGTAAAGACTGCAACGACGACACCACTAAAGCCAACATCTTTAACACATTTTCAGCTCAGTATTTGTAAACAGCAATGGATCATGCCCTGTATTTCCTAGCCGTACCACAGATAACAACAATGATCTAATACATATCGATTTTACAGAAGACAATGTTGAAAAAGCACTACGCAATCTAAAACCATCTCTATCTATTGGACCTGATGGAATATGTGCCTACTTCTTAAAAAAGCTATCCACTGCCATAGCCAAACCTCTAAGCAAAATCTTTGAAAAATCTTTCAGGACCAGCTCCTTGCCTAACCTATGGTCACAAGCCACAGCCATCCCCATCTTCAAAAAGGGAGACCCCAGCCTAGTTGAAAATTACAGGCCAATCTCCTTATGCTGCGTCACCTGTAAAGTCATGGAATCAATTATTAACCAATCCATCATCCTCCACTTAGAGACAAACAACCTACTCTCCAATAAACAATTTGGTTTCAGAAAAAAACTATCCTGTAATCTGCAACTCTTACACTGCAAAAACATATGGACGACACAACTCGACCAGGGCAAAACAATAGACACAATCTACTTAGATTTCTGTAAAGCCTTTGATTCAGTGGTACACGACAAACTACTCCAAAAATAAAATCCTATGGTATCTCTGGACAACTGAATAACTGGATAGAAGCATTCCTGGCAAACAGACAACAAATGGTCAAAATTGGAAACGTCCTATCAAATTCTGTACCTGTCAATAGTGGTGTCCCCCAAGGCAGTGTTCTAGGACCAACTCTCTTCATACTCTACATAAATGACCTCTGTGATCATATTAAGAGCAATTGCGTTCTTTTCGCTGATGATGTAAAGCTGTTCAATACCACAGACAATACTGCTACCCTACAAAAAGATCTTGACTATGTATCAGAATGGTCAAACAAATGGCAACTTCAAATCTCAACAAATAAATGCTCTGTCTTACATATTGGCAAAAAAAATCAGAAAATAAAATACAAGCTGAATAGTCAAGAACTTGTTGATGACCCAAGCTCTGTAAAGGACCTTGGAATACTCACCTCTAATGATCTAAGTGCTAGAGCCCACTGCAACTACATAGCCAAAAAGGCATTAAGAGTTGTTAACCTAATCCTACGTAGCTTTTTCTCTAGTAATATCACACTACTAACCAGAGCATACAAAACATTTGCTAGACCAATACTCGAATACAGTTCATCAGTCTGGAACCCACATTACATATCTGATATTAGCACAATTGAGAAAGTCCAGAAATATTTCACAAGAAGAGTTCTCCACTCCTCTACTCGTTGTAGAATACCTTATGCCACCAGACTTGAAATTCTAGAACTAGAAAACCTTGAATTACGCCGACTTCGGTCCGATCTAAGTATCGTATATAAAATCATCCATTGCAATGTCCTACCTGTCAATGAATACTTCAGCTTCAACCATAACAACACAAGAGCACACAATAGATACAAACTCAAGGTTAACCGCACCAAACTTGATTGCAGGAAATACGACTTCAGCAATAGAGTGGTCAATGTCTGGAATACTCTATCTGACTCTGTGGTTTCTTCCCCAAACCCCAAAAACTTTAACCTTAGACTGTCTACTATTGACCTCACCCCTTTCCTAAGAGGTCTGTAGGGGGCGTGCATAAGTGCACCAACGTGCCTACCGTCCCTGTCCTATTATTTCTCTTATTCTTCTTTTATTTTTCTTATATGTACCCATTTCATGTATTCACAACTATGTATACACTTATACTTATTATCTTGTAAACAATTGGCAAATCAAATCAAATAAATCAATAAATAAATAAAGGCCTTCCTCCCTGCTCTTTCCAGACAGGAACGGGGTTGCTTTAGGGCAGGGATCTCCAAACTTGGACCCTTTAAGACTTGTGGACTTCAACTCCCAGAATTCCTCAGCCAGCTTCGCCCTGCTTTAAACTGAGGTGGGAAAGGAGTCCCTGAGGGTTTTACTCCGCCAGTCGTTGCCGACTGCTGGCTTTCGAGAGAAATGGGGTTGCTTCCCTGTTTTGGCCCTTAGCGGCCACACAGGCTCTCTTTGACCCGGCTGCACCAAGCCCGACGGCCGCCTCACCATCCTCCGGCGAGACAAAGCGCGACTGCAGCGCAACGAATGGCGCATGCGCGGGACGTCGAGACGCCCCTTGAAAGGACCTGCGAGACTTCCGCCCGAGGGAAAGCAAGCCCCGCCCCTTCCGACTCCGGGAAGCAGAAGGTCCGCAGGATTCCTTCTCCCGCTCCGCTGCCATGGCGCTCCTGTGCTCCGGTAGCCGCTCGCTCCTGCCTCCTCGCATGGCCGCCCTCGCGGTCCGAGCCAGGTAACGGCGCCGGCACCTGGGAACGCGGCCGAGAGAAGCCGGCCGGCCGCGGAGAGGGCGAAGCCGGCGACCCCTTTTTGTCCTTCGGCGGACCCCGTCGCGGGATCGCGGCAAGGAGGGCGGCCGTGATTGGGCGCCTCGGGGGGCGGGAGCGCCTGGGTGGCCTCCGATTGGCGGCCTCGCAGGTGGCCTCAGTGCCCTTGGAGCGGAGGCGCGCGGGCGGGGGGAGCGGTCGGGTTCTCTCGCCCGACGGGGGTGCTGCTGCTCCGGCCTCGCCCCATGGCGGTGAGAGTCGGCCCGGTCGCCCGCGCTGTGGCTGGCGGTTCCCGCCTGAAGCGGAGGCGGCGCTCCCGGAGGCCGTTCTCGGCCTTCGCCTCGCCGGCCGTCCCGGCGCCGGGGGCTCCCTGCTCTTCGGGCGGGGGGGGCGTCGGGCCCTCCCTGCAACCTGCCGGCCGAGGGCGGCTCTTTTCCCCGCGCGAGCCTGGAGGGGCCTCGGCCTGCGGGGGTTGGGGTGGGCTGGAGCTGTGGGCGGGCGGGAGCGCGGGCTGCCGGTCCTTGGGCGGCCCTTGCGAGGCTGACCTGCCCTTCCCGGACGCCGCAGCTCCTGGTGGGCTCACGTGGAGATGGGCCCCCCCGACCCGATTCTGGGGGTGACGGAGGCCTTCAAGAGGGACGGCAGCGCCAAGAAGATGAACCTGGGCGTTGGCGCTTACCGGGACGACAACGGGAAGCCCTTCGTGCTGAGCTGCGTCCGCAAAGTAAGCTGCTTCCCCACCCCCGGGGGACCGGCGTTCCAGGGGGCGGCTGGCGTCCTACGTGCTTAGGCTGCAGGTGGAGGGTTTCCGGCTTGGCCCGTTTCCCAGGGACCCCGGCTGCTGCGGAGGGAATAGGCACTGAATTGAGAGGGACGTTTCAGGAGCTTCTCTCAAACCCTCCCTCCCTTGTCTCGGCCTGTCAAATGAGCTAAATCGGGGGTCTCCACCCCTGGCAACTTTAAGACTTGTGGACTTCAACTCCCAGAATTCCTCAGCTAGCAAAGCTGGCTGAGGAATTCTGGGAGTTGAAGTCCACAAGTCTTTAAAGTTGCCAAGGTTGGAGATCTCTGAGCTAAACCGGTGAGCAGATCCCGGTGTGCACATGTGTCTCCTGTGGGAGCTGCCTTCGCTGCCGGTTTGCTTCCTGGTGCAAAATTTCAAATGAAAGTTTAAGTGAGTGAACTATGAATAGGGTGCAGGCTTGGCATTGAATAAGTGATAGTTCAACTTTTCTGAGGGATCCTGCTCAGAAAAGATTAACGAAGATTAAGGAAGACACTTCAGAGAACAAATTTGCAGATGTAAGGAGGGGGAAGGAGAATCTAAATGTAGGCGTTTGCCTTTTCTGCACTGAAAATGTCAGGAAAGGAACCACAGGTAGGTATTGGCCACTTGAAGGCAAGCCTAGCCAAGGGAATGGGGAATGGCTAGCAGAATGCACTTGAGCTAGAAAAGTGGTTACTGCTCAAGCTCTCAACTATTTGACTAATTCTTTCTTTACACCGTATTCATAATCCTACAAACTACCTTCTCCTCCCTGTTGAAACCCTGCTTTATTTAGAATAGTAATCTAGGAACAGTATTGGGTGAATATTTCTAATGTAAAGGTTGGAGAAATCGATAAGTAAATTGAATGTCTTTATGATCTAGGCAGAAGCCCAGATAGCTGCTAAGAAGATGGACAAGGAATATTTGCCCATATCTGGGCTAGCAGACTTCAACAAGGCGTCAGCTGAACTGGCTTTGGGAGAAACAAATGAGGTTATAAAAAGTGGACGGGTAAGGAGCCAAATGAAATATTTATCAAGTGCATTCAGACAGAGGTTCCTATATTGGGAGCTCTTTGCTGTGCAAGATTTGGATCATTTGTGGATGAAGAACTAACTCCTGTAGAGGCCTTAGCTGAGCTTTTGAAATCCGTTACCCCCCATTTGCTCTGTTGGAAAAAGTGAATGCCACTGTATAACCCACAGGTGACAATGCATTTAATTTTGAAAACACTTGGAGGTTCTGGGTCCCAGAGAGGCAGCATTTCAGCAGGTGAACCATCTCCTTTCATTCCATTTGTTGGAAGAGGTAATATGTGGGACACATAAATGCAGTTTTATCTGAAAATGCTGAAATTCCACGTTTTCTTTATGTTTGGCTTGGATGTGCCATCATGAATCAAATCTACAGTTTAATGTGACCTCTTGATCTCTTCTCAAAACATGCTCACAGTGACTGTGTCCAGAAGAAGATATAATATATTGTGGCTGACCCAAAGAGGCAGAGTTAATGTAATCACATAATGTGCAGGAAGTAGAATTACCGTATTTTTCACACTATACCTGACTGTCAGAGCACCTAGCGACAACTCAACATTTCTATGCCTGTTTTATAGTTGCCAACAGAAAGGGAGGGGGGAAAGGAGTTTGAAAGAGCAGTGCGGCAGTTTGGAAGTGCATTCCATTCATTTTTTTACAGAGATTGTAACTAGGCAACTGAAGTTTCTGCCTGAAAAAATCTAACTGGACAATATGATTGATGACTCTTGGCTATGGACATGTCCCATTGGAGAATATGAATTATGATATCCTCAGAGGGGTGGTGGAAAACCAGGGTCAAGGGTCACAGTGAATTACGTGTCTCAGAGTCGGCTACACCCAGGTCATGCAGACATGTTAACTCCCAATAAATCCTTCGTAGTTTTGGAAGTTTGGCTCGAGACTCATGATTTAATTGGGGTAACTGCCGGAATCCTGACACCTAGGTTTAGAGGAGGAAAACGGGCAATGACAAAGACAGAAGAGGCGAGGTCCAGCACTGCAAAAGGACCCCACCACCGCGGCCCGTATTTTTCGTTCCATAAAGCACACAGACATTTCCACCCACTTTTTTGGAGGGGAAGTGTGTCTTATGGAGCAAAAAGTACGGTAGTCCTAAATAAACAATGTTTTCCTTCAGTTAGCTGTATCTGGGAAACCAATCAGGAGATTAATTAACCCTTAGCTCTCCCAAAGTCAAAAATGGGCCCTTTGGAGTGGACTGAAACCATGCAATCCCACCCATTGCACAAATTAAATCATCTCAGGCAAGGGGCTGTCTGGCCTCAAACTTTGTTGGGAGTAACTTCACTCTGCTTAAGTTCAATTGATGCTCTCTAGTATCACAAAAGCAGTTGAGAATTGCAGTGGTTCTTTCCAGTTGGTTGAGCATGACTACCCTCACAGCAGAGGTATACAACTTGTGGTCCTGTGGATTTTTCTGGGACTTCCATTCTCTAAATTTGTAACTATTATTTCTGGGGGAAGGTGGATTCTGGGCTCCATTTCCTGCTTCTTCTTTGGCTGCAAAATTAGAGAGCAATTCAGTGTTTGCTAAGCTGCAACCATCTCTTTTTTTCCTTGTTGGTATCTGGATTTCTCATGTGCCTTTTCTGCATCCTTTCAGTATGTTACAGTGCAGACAATTTCTGGAACTGGGTCTCTAAGGGTTGGAGCCAACTTCTTGGTGAGTGTTGATTTAAAATCTTTAATTTTAGAAAATAGGACTCCTTCAACCATCTACAAGCTCCTCCAAGTCAGCTGCCTCCCCCCTTTCTTTCTGCTTAGCAACGATTCTTCAGCTCCAGCCGTGACGTGTTCCTCCCCAAGCCTTCCTGGGGGAATCACACCCCCATTTTCAGAGATGCCGGAATGCAGCTACAAAGCTATCGATACTATGACCCCAAAACATGCGGCTTTGACTTCACTGGAGCTTTGGAGGACATTTCTGTAAGTTTATACTCATGGGTGGGAGGGTCACGTGTGTGGAAAAATGTAGCCCACAAAGCCTCAGTGTGAGGCAAGGCCGATCAAAGCTGAAGTCCTGTAGCCACTTTAAAGTCAAAATGATATGTGGAAGGCTCGTTCCGTAGATGGGGGCTCTTTTATCCGATGCACAAAACTGCAACACTCAGAAGCAGGGTTTCCCATGTTTTTTGTGATGGGTGAAATTTCTTTTAACTCTTCTTATTCATGGGGATCATGCCTTATCCCTGCATCCCCCCCCTCTCTTTTTAAAAGAAAATTCCAGAAAAGAGCATTATTCTATTCCATGCCTGTGCTCACAACCCCACTGGAGTGGATCCCCGTCCAGAGCAATGGAAGGAGCTGGCAGGAGTGGTGAAGGTGAGTGCTGGGTCCAGGCGGGGTCTCCCTTCAGCCATTGCGGGGTTCTCCTTTGGTGCAGTGGAAATGGGTGTTTTGCTGGATTTAATTATGTTGGGATTTGGTTTTTTTAAAGTTGAGAATGAAGTAGCAGCTCTCATTGACTGGAGGCCAAGGCACTTTGATTTTTACTTTACAATTTAATTTTCTTTTTGTTTTACATTTATATCTATTTTTCATATTGGAAGATTTTTTTAAAAGTACAACTTTAAAAGGGTGCTTTGACTTGAGACCAAGGTTTGAAGCTCAGGCTGCTAACAAAATTCCTTTTGAAGGGGTGGGAATCAGATGGTTGTTGGGTTTTTTTTTTCTCTCTTGTCCAAGAAAGGGAAGACATTTATGCCTTTTCTGAATTATTAGAGCTGACCATGAAACACAATCCTTTCCCGCTTCAGGAGGAGACAGGAGCTGAGGTCTTTTTGGGGGAGGAGCAGGCTGGGTGGGTGCGGAAGGGCAGCGGTGGGTGAAAATGCTCCAGCATGGGAGCATCCTGGACCATGTGTGACTTGCCTTTGACCCACTTGTGGTCCAGAGGCCGCAGTTTTGGCCTCTGAAGGTAGAAGGGAGGCTGCTGGGGGGAAACAAGCCGTTTTGTTCCAGGTGTGGTGCTTTCAGAACAGGTTCCAAGGCCCTCTGACCGGAGAACTCCCAACTGGTCAGGTGGACGTCCAAGGCTAGGGAAAGGGCACGGGGGAGACTCTGGAGGGAGGGCCTCTCTGTAGTCACTGATCCTGACCAACTCCCTGATTTTCAGTGGGAATAAAGAGGCTCCTAGAGTAGTAAATGTGGGGTTTTGTGGGTGGTTGCCTGAAAACCTCAGCTGGCTTGTTGAGCTACCTTCTTGTACAAATGGAGGGCCAGCAGCTGGGTGTTCTACTTCAGCGGCCGCCCTTGGAAACTTTTTTCCAGAAAAGGAATCTCTTCACCTTCTTTGACATGGCCTATCAAGGTTTTGCCAGCGGGGACATAAACCGGGATTCGTGGGCCGTCCGTCACTTCATTGAACAAGGCATTAACATTGTACTCTCCCAGTCATACGCCAAGAACATGGGCCTCTACGGTAAGCTCCCCCAGGACTCTCCGCACTTCCTCTTTCAGGAGAGGCTAGAGAGGGGAGTTTCTGGGGTGTCCTCGGGAGAAATGGGGACGCTGTGACTTCCCACCACCTCTGAGGGAAGGGGGGCAGTTTCTCTTGGGTTGCTCCCAGAAACCAGTGGCTAGCGAGAGCCTGCTTGCTGCACAGAGGGTGCAGGGGCTTTGGGCCTGCCTGCTGGGCAGCTCATACCCTCTGTGGCCCAGTCCCGGGTACAGCAGCACCCATGCAGCCAGTCAAGAGCCTCCGTTGGGGTTTCTTCCACCTGCTATGTTGGGTCCGTTCCTAGGAGCGCACAATAAATCCCTCCGACGCTAACCAGACAAAAGGGGAGCTGCAGCTAATCAAAGTTTCCCCCTCTCCCTCGGGGCTGGCCCAGTCCCAAGGCTGCCCCTGTAGGGAAAGACAGCCAAGACTTCCACCTGGCAAGGCCTGCTTCTGCTTTGGCTGCAGTGCCCAAGCCTCCAGGCCAGTCTTGCAGGGGGTTGGGGTGCACCTGTGAGCCCGGACCTTGAACCGGAGCCCTCCCAGTGGCCCTGGGCTCCTGTCGCCTCCTTGCAAGGAGTTGGACTTCCCTGCTCTCCTCCGCACACCAGGCCTCCTGCTTGCTTGGGGGGAGTTGGGGAGAGAAGGAAGGGCTTGGAGCCCTTCTGTGGGTGTGACAGGCTGCAACCCTCCATTTTGAACGTCTATAATAATAATAGGAATAATAAAAACAAGGACAAATAGGCTGCAGAACAGCTTCTATCCCAAGGCAGTAGCTCTGTTGAATTCTACTGCGTAGTGCAGTGTTGGTGCTGTGTTGGGGGTTTTGGTTCAATGTGTGGAGGGGGAAGGATGTGTGTTTGTGTTTATTTTCATGGTCATGATGTGCACTGAAGACGGTGTTTGATTTCGTTGTACGAGGTGCAATCACAATCAAGTAAACTAAACTAAGCTAATTAACTTCAGGATAGGACTATGCCAGGGCTTTGCCTAGTCAGCAGGGCCAGGGAAGGAGGCAAGAGGGGGCCTGGGTCGCAAGGAGGGCTCCACACTCAACTTGGGTCCTGTCTCTAGGGGAGCGTGTGGGCGCCTTCACGGTCATTTGCAAGGACTCGGAGGAAGCCAAGAGAGTGGAGTCCCAGCTCAAGATCCTGATCCGCCCCATGTATTCCAACCCCCCCATCAATGGGGCCCGGATAGCTTCTGCTATCCTGAACAGCCCTGACCTGCGGAAGGAATGGTGAGCGTCCTGCGGTTCTCTCTCCTGTGCTTCAGGGGCTGCGGCTGTGCTCTGCTTTGGAGCCTTTGGGCAGGGGGGGCCTCGGGCGAGAGCCTGTCGGGACTGAACGCGGCTATGCCCATTTGCTGGGCTTCTCCGTGCATTGCTGCAAATCGTTGGAAGGGAGTGCCAGGACGGGCCAGTGGTGGGGGTGACCTTGTCAAGGGACGGGGACCAGCCTAGGGTGCCTTTTGAATCGCCTTCCCCCGGGGGAAGTGGAGCGGTCCAGCTCTGAATTGAGGGCCAAGTCTTCTATCTTTAATGCAGGGGTCCTCCAACTTGGCCACTTTAAGATTTGGAGACTTCAACTCCCAGAATTGGCTGAGGAACTGTGGGAGTTGAAGTCCCCAAGTCTTAAAGTGGCCAAGTTGGAGGACCCCTGCTTTAGCGGAAAGGCCTCCACTTTGAAGCGGGCTTTTGGCGCTCGGAAGAGCCTCTTCTCCCTCTGGGTTCTGAGATGGGGGTCATGGAGAGCAGAATGGGGAGGGCCTGGGGACGGGTGGGGGGTGGATCTGGTCTCCCTGCTGCTGAGCGCCCTTTCTGGCTTCCCTGGGCAGGCTGGCAGAGGTGAAGGGAATGGCCGACCGCATTATCGGCATGCGCACCCATCTGGTGGCCAATCTGAAGAAAGAAGGTTCTTCTCATAACTGGCAGCACATCACTGATCAGATCGGCATGTTCTGCTTCACCGGACTGAAGCCGGAGCAGGTAAGAAGCGGGGGCGGTCTGAGTGTCCAGAGCCCCTTGGCCTGCTTCGACCCCAGTTGGGCTCCGTTTGGGAGAGGAGCTTGACCTCTTGCCCCCTTTATTTAGCAGCCCAACCCTGGGGGAGCTTCCGAGAAGTTTGCTTCCCCTGCTTTAAGTGGGGGGGGAACCCTTATTTTCATCTCTACTCAGCTCCAGGTGCTTTGATGAAGGGGCTACAAGGGGGGAATCTTAGGTTTGTAAATTAAGAGGCTTCCCAACTTTCATTCATTCATTCATATCTTGCCTTTACTACTTTCACATATGTGTAACTCAAAGCGGCAAACGTATCCAACACACCCTATTTTCTTCACAACAACCCTATGAGGTGGGTTGGGCTGAGAAAGAGTGACTAGCCCAAAATCACTCAGCCAACTTTCATGCCTAAAACTCACTGTCTCCTGTTGATAGGTCCGACATCCCCCAGCTGGCTTTCACAGCTAAGGTGGGACTAGAATTCACAGCCTCCAGATTTCTGGGGGAGCACTACAGCAAACTGGCTCTCTGTTGTTCTAGAGTCTAGACCATTTTAAAACATTACAAGGAAAGGTGTGTTCAGTCCTCTCTGGTTTTCAAGACTCGATCAAGTCTGATGGGAGAGCCAGATATTTAATTTTAAATTTATTAAGGTACAGGTTGAGGGTTTGTGTGTGTGTGTAGTTCAAGCCTACAAGGTCCTGATTGTGTTTCTCTGCAGGTTGCCTATCAGCTTCTGAGCCAGGGTCAGTCCTGTCAGTTGTGGGGAGGGCAGTAAAATGACTGAGAACTTGGTGTCTGGTCTGCTGGCCAGAGAGGCTCCAGAGGACAGAGGGGGCCCGTGTCCTGTTCTTGCTATGCGCCTTGCATCTGGGTCGTTGGGAATCACCTGGGCTTTTAGTTTCTATGGTGTTGTATTGAAACAACTTTTCTGCTGCAGTGCAGCATATAAATTAGTGAAAAATTAAAATAGTGGTGATGCCCAGAAACCACAGGATAATGGAGGGATTTCCCCCTCCCGTGTTGGTGCTGTCCTTGCTGCAGCAGTTTGCGGGGAGGGGGTGTCTCCCCTGCTTGGCCAGTCAGCCACGCCCCTCGGGAGACGCAGCTGCTGGACCTTCATGGTGGGAAGGCCTCCTCCCCCTGAACTGAACTTTCCGTTTTCCAGGTGGAACGGTTAACCAAAGAATTCTCCATCTACATGACCAAGGATGGCCGCATCTCCGTTGCAGGCGTCACCTCGGGCAACGTGGCTTACCTGGCTCACGCCATCCACCAGGTGTCCAAGTGAACAGGGAGGATTGTCAGATGGCTTCGTACTCTGTCTAGGCTGGGGGGAGAGTAGGAGTAGCAGCAGCAGCACAAGCATTTCCCTCGCTTTTTTCATCATCCGTCACTTGGCTTTGTGTCATTGCGCACACACACACGCACACACCCATCGCTTGAGGTGACTTCCGGTCCTGTGTGCGAACACTGGCATCCTCTGAGCTGGGCTAGGAGACTCTTGGCCTCTTTGTGAGCGTAGCCTTCCCCAGGACTACAGCTCCCATAAATAGCCAGGCTAATTTCAAGTGTGCCCTGCTCAGTCTGCCTGCGTGGAGTGGACGTCCTTCTCCCAACTCTGTGCCCAGGGATTCGAAGGAAGCTGTCAAGGAAAAGTGGCTTTTTTTCTTGCTAGAAAAAGTTCTCATTGTTCTTATGACAGGAATATAAGGCTTTTTTCCCCACTTCCCAATAGAAAAAAGCAATTAGCACAGTATTTTAAACTATTCACTGACAGGATTAATTTTGATTAGCCGTAACCCATTAAATTCCCTTCCCTTTCCTTTGGGGTCTTTGAGAAACCGTTGTATGTATGGACATACCTGCGTGGAAAGCCTTCCTCCTGGGGTAAAGCTCCTTTGCGAAGTTGGCATATGTTGTGGCTCTTAAAAAACACAACTTTTCTCAGCTGCTCACCTCACCAAGGAAATATTCTTTCTCCTATTCAAAAATTATTTTTAGTGCTGCTTCAGTTCCGGTAGAGATAGATGCTCAAAGGCGTGTGGCAGAACGTCCACAGAAATGGAACATTGCATGAATTAAGTAGGACAGAAGTTGCAAAACTGACCCCCAGTGCGATATTCGCACTGCAACCCCTACTTCATATGGTGAACTCATGTATGATGGAGCTCTGCATTTTCTCGTGTGTGTCTTAAGAACTGAATGCTCTCCCCACCTCTGAAAGCAGAGGGCAGGAGAAAGCCGCCATCAGGTTTATCAACCAACGAGCTTCAGTGGCTGCACACCCGTCCTGTGCCAGGTGGATGCTGGGGTGCTCCGATTGTCTCTTCAGAACCCCAAGTGAGGAAGAAGCATTCTGGGAAACGGGGCGACCTGCACAGCTGCAGCCATCAAATGCCTCCCATGGTCCATCACCCCTGGGACGCCTCGTCGTCTTCCCGAGCGGATCAGTGGAATGAATGGTGAACTCTGCAAAAGCAAAGCCGCCGAAAGAGACAGGTGGAAACCGCCTCTCCCCCTTGGGAAGCCAAGCACAGGCGCCTCTTCCAGCTGGCAGGTTCTCCGCCTGAGAGGTGGTAAGGCAGCCTGCCTCCTGCGCAGCCTTCCTACCCTCCCTCCCTCCTTTAATAAAGCTGCTGTACATCAAGCGCCTTGGTCTGGGATTCTTCTTCTGATTAAATGTTTTAATTTTTAACACAATAACTCCATTCCACTTCAATCGTGTGTCAGTTAGGTACACATTTCTTGTGCTTAACAATTACTAATATTCTTAACAGTATAACAATATAATACTCACATTCCCATATATATAAGTAATGTTCAGTATGTCTATTACACTAGTTCCTCTTATTGCTTTATAAATACATCTAATCCCTTTTAATTTTTATTTTCTAGCCATTTATAAAGCAAGTCCCACACCATACAATATTCAGATTCTTTTTAATTTCTACGGTTAAATTATTCATTTCTGCACATTCAAATATTTTTTTCAATTGCTTTTTCCTCTATTGACATCACTTCCAATTTTGAGCAAATAGAATTCTAGCTGCTGTTAACACATGAGAATGTTTTTCAGGGTTCCCCTTTCTTGGTCGCTTCGCTTGGGACCCCGCAGCGCAGGGACGGGGTGGGTTGGGGGGATCGGTCGGTAGTGGAGCGATGCCCATCTTGGACCTCCAAGAAAGAAGATACCGGGCTCGGCCGGGCCTTGGCTCCACCAGGGAGGGCTGTGGACCGTCCTGGGCGGCACCTGAGCTGGCTTTTGGGCGGGCTTCGCGGCCCCAAGCGCCTCCACGAAGAGCCCAGGGCCCTGTGCCTGGGACGGGGGCTCCTCCGGCAGCTGCTTTGAAGGGGTCTGGTCGGTGTGCTTCGTGTGCCCGCCTTGCTCTGAAGCCCTCCTGCATCGCCCCCATTTCCCGGATTTGAGCAACCCGAGGGCCCGTAACTGTCCCGTCCCGTCCCCCAGCCCCCGGGATGGGGTTTCGCCTACGGGTAGGCTGAGGCAGACCGCGGGGGCTCCTTCCCAAGCGGTGCCTCATCGCAACCGGTCGGAGCTGAAGGGAGGGAAGGGGTCGCAGAGATCATCCAGACCAGGGGTCTCCAACCTTGGCCACTTTAAGGCCTGTGGACTTCAACTCCCAGAATTCCTCAGCCAGCAAAGCTTTAAGACTTGTGGACCAACTCCCGGAGCAAAGCTGGCTGAGGAATTCTGGGAGTTGAAGTCCACAGGCCTTAAAGTGGCCAAGGTTGGAAACCCGATTCCAGGCCGCCCCAAGGAGGCGGGGCGGGGCGGGGCCGGCGGAAGAGGCAGGGGAGGGGGCGGCGTCCCGCGCGCGGGGGGCGGTCGCGGCTGCGGGAGGGCGAGCTGAGGGGTCGCGCGTGCTCGGGCGGCGGGGACGCGCTTGGCCGGCCCAGGGGCGGGTGTCGGACTTCGCCCGGAGGGGGCTGGGGCCGGATCCCCCCCCCGATCCGGGGCTCGTGACCCGCGGCTTGTTCGCGCCTGCCGGCTTCGGCTGCCTCGGGGCTGCGCGGTGAGGGGCGGCGGGGTCGCGTTTCGCGGGGGCGGGAAAAGTCGGGTCGTGGCTCGAAAGAGTCCGGTGATGCCCCTGCCCAGCCGCCGGCTCCGGGCCTGACCCCAGAGCGGCGCAGGCGGGCCTCTTCCCCGGCCGCGAGCGATGCCCGGCTCAGGTGGGGTGGGGGGGTGTTCTCTCCCGTCCGGCTGTTTGGCCTGGCGGCCCGACGGGTGTGCTGGGCCCGCAGCGCCCGGACAGGGCATCTCCAGAGCGGTGGGCTCCGTCCAGCCAAGACGCGGCTCTTCCACTGTCCCCGCCTGCTGTTCGGGCCTGGCCGCTGAATGGGGGGAGGGGGGTGTGTGTCAGGGGCCAGGAGGTCTTGGGGGGGGGCCGGAGGGGAGGCTGATGGCGCCCGGCTTTCTCCCCAGAAGGGCTGATCCTGCTGCTGCTGCTGCCACCGCTGCCCTCCTGCAGGGGCCCCGCCTGGCCTGCACCCCAAGGGATGTGCGACTTCGCTGCCCGGGAGAAGCCGGACTCTGCTGCCCGGAGAAGATGACTCAGAGCCACGTGGGCATCAACAGGGACTATGGCAACTGGGAGTGGAGCGCCGCTGATGCGGGCGAGCGGGCCAGGCTGTTGCAGAGCCCCAGCGCGGAGGAGCCCCGGCCGGCCACCACCTCCATGCTGGGTGCCGTCTTCATCGTCGTGAACGCCGCGCTTGGTGCGGGCCTGCTCAACTTCCCAGCAGCCTTCCAGATGGCCGGCGGAGTGGCCGCTGGAATCGCCATGCAGACGGTGAAGGGCCCTCCTCTCCTCGTTGCTGCTGGCCCAGAGCAAACCTTAGGGGCCAGGCTCTTCTCTTCCTTGGGGCCGACGGGTGCACCTCACTAGAGACCTGCTCTTGGGGAGGGGGCTCTCGTTGGGCTGGGACCACCCCTGTCATTGTCAGGCAGACCCTGCAGGCTCCCTGGTGGCCCAGCAACCACTGGCCACTCAGGCTGCCCTCCAGTGACCATGCCTGGGGGGCAGAGCAAACCTCACCTGGGACTCCCAAAGAGCTGGTGGTGCTGGCCCAGGGCCTTCCGCTGCCCTTCCGCTGCCTTCCCTTGCCAGCCTGAGTGTTCCTGAGGAGCAAGAGGAGGATGGCTCTGTAAGCCAGGCAAAAGCTCCAGGGGGGCAAGTGTTGACTCCCCCCATGGTGTCCCAAAGGGCCTGGCCTGAGCCCCTGCAGGCAGCATCCACTCATTGGCCAGTGATCTTGTCCTGTGGTGTGGGGGTTGCCTGTCCTCCTCCCTTCGTTGCAATAGCAATAACACTTTACAGCCCACCCTAAGCAGATTACCGAGTCAGCAAATTGCACCCAACAATCTGGGTTCTCATTTTACTGACCTCAGGAAGGATGGGAGGCTGAGTCAGCCTTGAGCCTGGTGAGATTCAAACCGCCAGCAGTCAGCAAGAATTTAGCCTGCAGTCCTGCATTCTAACCACTGCACCACTATGGCTCTGTGTGTGGGGTGTGTGTGTGTTTTACAAGGGCTGTTTTCCTCCTTCCCACCCAGCTAACGCCTGCCCTTCTCTGCCTCCCTTGCAGGGGCTGCTGCTCTTCATTATTGGTGGGCTGGTCATCCTGGCCTACTGTTCCCAGGCCAGTAACGAACGCACCTACCAGGAAGTGGTATGGGCTGTTTGTGGCCGAGTCCTGGGTGTGCTGTGTGAGGTGGCCATCGTGGTCTACACCTTTGGCACCTGCATCGCCTTCCTCATTATCATCGGGGATCAGCAGGACAAGAGTGAGTGTGGCAGTGGATGCCGTGGGGCGCTCCCCCCTCCCCCCCCCGGTCTCCTCTGAGGCCGGTGACTTCCTCATCAGGCAGCTCTCGTCTTCCATAATTAGAATCCGTCCACGGTTTCTCTAAGGGAGCATGGCCACCCCGGAGCGGGCACTCGGCAGACTCCTCCTGCTGATAAGGACCTCTTAGGTGGACTGGGCCAACTCAGAGGCCAACCTTCTCTCTCTGTGTCTCCGGAAGTCATTCCAGTGCTGGTAAAGAGCTGTGCCACAGAAGGGAGGAGCTGCTGGTTCACGGATCGCAAATGCACAATCAGCCTCACGGCCATTCTCTTCATCCTTCCACTGTCCGTCCCCAAAGAAATTGGCTTCCAGAAATATGCCAGGTACCTGCCAGGTGGGTGGGGGGTGCTGCTGCTGCTGCTGCTGCCCATATCCCCCAAAGACGGGTGTTGTGTGTGTTGACACTGGTGGGCTTTTTTCCTGCCCCTTGGCAGCTCTGGTAGGTCCAAGGATTCTGGTTTGCCAGCTGCTGCTGCTGCTGCTGCAGTGCTTGCCTTTGGCTTGGAGGTTGCCTGTCTTCTTCCTGTGTTCACCCCTTTCCCTCCACCCCCGCCGACAAACTTGCTTGCAGTTCTGTTTTATAGGATAAACGCCAATTTGGGGGAGGCTCTTTTAACCCTTAAGAGTCTGGATCCCAGGAGGGAAAATCCTGTGTGTTCATCCTGAATGCCTTCCACAGGCTTGTTTTTCTCCATCCCTTCCACCAACTGGGTTTTTAGAGCACCCTCCCTGTGTTAAATCAAAATCATGTTTTCAATTTATAAATTAAGCCAGTTTGGTCTGGTGGTTAAGGTACTGGGCTAGAAAGGGGGAGACTGGGCTCCAGTCCTGCCTTAGTTGTGAAAACTAGCTGGTGGTTCTCTCTTAGTCAAACTCACCTCCCAGGGGTTGTTATTGTGGGACAAAGATGTGTTGGATACGTCCATCACCTTGAGTTAATTGTAATAAAGGTGGGATACAAGCAAGTAAATAAAAGGTGAGAGAAGTTGCATAAAGAAGCAGTATTATTTTTAAATATATTTTATTAAATGTTAATAAATAATATCAGGTGAGCGTATTAACATAGAGAAAAGAAACAAAAAAGAAAAATATAGGAAATGCAAAAGAGACCTACTGCAATGAACCTAGACAGGTTCTGTCATAAACATTTGCCATCTATCTAGAGTATAGCAGAGTATAATCTGTTGCCACTGAAATAAAATGATAAGATGTCCAAATGTAAATGTAATTCTTGTCTCTGATGTCTCATCAGTTTTAACTTTGTGGGTTTTTTTGTAGTATAGCAGTTAATTCACAACTCTGTTACGTTATCTTGATTTTTCCAGTGTTGGGCAATTATTATTTTGGCTGATAAATAAATAATACTCCCTTTGTTTTTAAGCTCATGATTTAGTCCTGTAAATACATTCAGTAATGCTGGCTGTGGGGAGCATTCAATTCTTGGATTCGTGGTAGCACTTATCTCCCCAAAGATTTTACACCCAGAGAATATAATTTTATTGCATGAACATCACAGATGAAAGACTGGTCCTTTTGTTTTGACAACCTCTTGAACACTTGGAAGAATAACTCTGATATACTTATGCCAATCTAACAGGAATCGGGTGTCAAGGATGTATAATCTTGCACTGAAGCTGAAGTCAATCAACCCAGTTTTCATAGCCTCTGCCAATGTATCTCCTGCATGGGGTTACCAAGATCCATATCTCAAGCTTTCTTTAAATCATTCTTTAAATCAGCAGGATCTCCTGTTTGACAGTGTTGGTATTGAAATAAAGCATGTATGAAATGTTTCTGGTGGATCCCCACATCCCTAAATTTCGCTCTCTTTCAGCTGCTTGAGTGTGATCGGGACCTGGTACGTCACAATTGTCGTCATTATAAAGTATTTTTGGCCTGATCAGGTGATCTCCCCCGAGATAATCACCACCAGGTACGTGAATGCCGGCTGCATCCAGAGAGGCAGAGACGGCTGAGGGTTGCCACGAAGATAAAGGCACGGCCGCCTCAGGCTTCGTATTGCACAACAAAAGCAGAAGAGAAACCTGGCAGTCTTTTATGCCAATGGTCCTGCCTTGTTGGGGTTGCCCAGATAACCCCCTTCCCTGCTCGGTTAGTGGCAGTAACTGGCACTCCTCTTCCTGGAGCTGCAGCCGCTGTTCTGCCGGGTGGGAGCAACCTCCTGCAAAGGGACAGATTGGCAGCGTTGTTGCGTCCCTGTAGGAGCAGAGGAGAGAACCACGGGCGGGGGGGGGGGGGCACTTGGCTGGGGCATCTCCTGCCCTCCCTTCTGATGAGGCGCTTGCGGGGGGATCCATCCCTCATTAACCCAGCTCTCCTCTTCCTCCCCGCAGCCGCCCTTCTTCCTGGGTGTCTGTTTTCAACGCCATGCCCACCATTTGCTTTGGTTTCCAGGTAAGGTTCAAGCAGCTCTGCTGTCTGCCCTGGGCTGTGCCGAGAGAGGCTTTGCTGAGGGAGCAGTTGGTGCCACCGCAGGGCAGAAACCTTTCCCGTCTAGATGGGGTAGATTCGGCCCTTGCAGTTGCTGAGCGGCCTCCCCAGGCTCTTGCTGGAGGTTTGAAGGAATCCCTCTCTTCGTACGGTCCTTGTTGGGGGGGGGGGGTGTTTGGGTCTGCTACTCCGGATCCTCAGGCATCCTTTAGCTCCTCTGTATCTTCCCTGGGCATCCAGCCAAGGCTGGCTGAAGTGGGTCCCGGGTTGGTCGGGGCGCACAGATACCTGGGAGTGGCTTTTCAATCCTCCTCCAAATTGGATTGGACTTTTTCCATTCGCAAGATTGCAAATTAGTGGTGTGATGTGTTGGGTATTAACAGCTACAACCCCACTTGTAAAGGTTTCTGGATCAGTGGTTTTCCAAGGGGCCCCGAAGGGAGTGTTGTGGGGAGTCAAAGAGCCATTTGGTGTCAGAGAAAGCTCCTAGCCCAGCAAGGAGAGAAAATGACCGTTCTGATGGACAGACGTCTGTCTGTGGGGGAGGTTTTATGGCTCACGGAGGAAGGGGGGCTCTTCTTGGGTTGAGCCAACCACTTCCTGAGTGGTGATTTAGGGAGGCGGGTGGGTGGAAACCAGTGTGGTTGCATTTGAAACAAAAGGGCAGTTGAAGATCCTGAGGGGGTCCAGGGTGGCCTGCAGGCACCTGCCCTTCTGTGGACTTTCTCTGGGAAGGAAGGAAGGATTCAGAGGGACAGCCTGGGAAAAAAGGCAAAGGCCGCATGCGCCAGATGGAAGAGCTTCTCTCCGGACCAAGAGGGCATTTGCTCCCTCCGGTAGCAGGATCTCAAAATCCTGGCCACACCCAGCACTTTCTGCCCATCCTCAGGGCGAGCGGTGAGAGGATGGACGTTCAGTGGGTGTTAAGTTTCCCCCCTAGCCACCCCCCACCCCCGAGGACCCTTGGTTGGCTTGCATCTCAAACAACAATCCCCCGTTGTACAACTGTCCTCGGAAGGCAGCCCAGGTACCTCTCCCTACAGTGTCCAGCCCCTGTGAAGGAAGCCTGGGGGGTCGGACGGTCAGGGACATGGAAATCAGGCCAAATTAGCTGTGCCGGTCTCGGTCTCGGAGCAATCCAGATGATTGCTGCCTTGCTGGGCATTGTGGAGGCGAGGGAAGAGCTGCTGGGGCAGGTTTCTGCCTGGGAGGCAACGCAAGACGGATCAGCTGCTTGCAGGGAAGCCGGGGGGGGGGGGGGCCCCCGTGGGCTTCCTTCTTCCAGGTTGCTTCTACACCTGGAAGGGGGGAGCTGCTCTGTATCAAGATCTTGGCAAAGATGTGCCCAGGGCAACGCATGCCAGGTGGGCAGGAGGACACGGCCTGTCTGCCTGAGCTTGCCTAAAACTCGGGGAGGGGCTCCTAGCTCAGCTTTGGGCTTCTAGGGTTTCACTTGGCAGATTTGGAGGAAGTTCTCCAGCGCCTGGAAGAGGCAGCGATGGCATTGGGGGTTTTCAGGCAGACCCGGATGCGTCACACGCTGGCTATGACCACTCCTGTTTTAGCGAAGGGGAAGAAAGTCGAGATACGTCACGTGCCGACAACCTGAGGCCACAAATGTGACACGCCAATTTTTAAGGAGATTAATATATGACAGTGGCAAGTAACAGCTGCCAAGCTAAGTTAAAAAAGGTGATGGCAATTAAAATTATTCTCTGGAATGAACTGCAGGTAGTAACTATGGCATCACTTGGTTAAGGAGGAGGTTTTCCCCAGGAATCTTGGATTCTTATTGTGAACTGAAGTGGACGTCCATCTGCAGTTACCATAATGCCCGCCTGAGTGGGTGAAGGGCTTGGGGACCCCGGTGCAGCAGAGTTTGGGGGGGGGGGGCGAGGGGTTAACCCATTGCCCCAAAGCAGCTTTGCTGCCCCCCCCCCACTGAGCCTTTCCCTCCCCCTTTCGTAGTGCCACGTCAGCAGCGTGCCCATCTTCAACAGCATGAAGTGCCCGCAGGTAAGGACCTGGGGAGTCGTCGTGACGGCAGCCATGGTCATCGCCCTCTTTGTCTACATGGGCACAGGTAGGGAGCGGATCCCGAAACCCAGCCGCTCGTTCCGTCCAGCGGCTTCTGCTTTGGCCGAGGGCCTGGCAGGAGCCGTGCCTGGTGTTGCCCCAGCCTCCCTCTGTCCCTGCCAGGCGTCTGTGGCTTCCTGACCTTCGGTGAGAGTGTGCAGCCGGACGTGCTGCTCTCCTACCCCTCGGACGACATCCCGGTCGCCTTCGCGAGGGCCTTCATCATCCTCTCGGTCCTGACTTCTTACCCGATCCTGCACTTCTGTGGAAGGTGAGCAGGCCGGCTGGGGGGTGTGGGAAGGGAGCGGGGGGGCGTGTGTGCTGACCCTTCCGAGGTCTTCCTCCTAGAGCCGTCCTGGAAGGTCTCTGGCTGCGCTACAAAGGGGAAAGCATGGACGAAGACGCGAGCCGGGAGAGACGCCGACGCCTATTGCAGACCTTCTGCTGGTTCCTCCTCACCCTCCTCCTGGCCTTGTTCATTCCGGACATCGGCAGGGTCATCTCGGTCATTGGGGGGCTGGCCGCCTGCTTCATCTTTGTCTTCCCAGGTAGGGGAAAAAGGTTTCTGGGAAGGTGGGCGGGCGGTGGCTTCTCTGGGTTCTCCACTGCTTGGATGGCCTGCTGGTCCCAGGCTGCAGCCAGGGCTGGCTTTGGGGACCGAAGTGGTGAGGAAGGAGCCAAAGGCTGCCCCCGAAGAGCCGCCTGAGGTTCCCACGAGGCCGGGGAGGGGGAGGAAGAGCCAGCTGAGGGCAGGCAGGGAGGTTCCTGCAGCTCCAGGGACGGGATGGGAAGCCCTGACCGGCCCCCCAGTTGCTGCGTGACAGTTGGCCGGTTCCGCCCAGGGCCGACCTCTGGAGGGAGGGAGACGCCTGCCTGGCTGAGAAGCTCCCCCTGTGCAGCCGGAGGCCCTGGAGGGAAAGTGCTCCCTCTCCACTCGGGGGCCTCGGGGGCCTCGGTGAGACCGTCCCCAGGCAGGCTGCCCAATCCCGCTCTCTCTCTTCTTGCCCTGCCAGGCCTCTGCCTCATCCACACCAAGCTTTCCGAAGTCCAGGGAGCCGGAGGAGTCAGGTAAGAGAGGAGCTCGGCCTTGGACCATCCCCGCCTTGCTCTGCCCCTCGCTGGCTGGCCTGACTGCGTTTGTCTCCTCCCCGCAGCTGGTGGATGGTGGTCGGCTATGGGATATTCATGGTTGTCCTCGGCGCTTTCATCTTCGGACAGACAACGGCCAATGCCATCTCCATGGATCTCAGGAAGTGACCCCCCAACTCTACTTCACTGGATCTGGACAGTCTCCTGGGGACTTTTAAGCAGCCAAATTATTGGACCCTCCGGTTTGGGGGATACCTCGGCATTGACAAAGCACGAGGGTCCTTTTCTTTCTCCGGTCAAATCGCTTCTCTGGTTTCCAGTTGCCCTTGGTGGGAGGGCTGTTGGCTTTTACCTGTTGCCCCCCCCCCCCCCCCCCCCCCCCCCCCCCCCCCCCCCACACACAC